AGCTGCTGCACACTGCTGGCTCATACTTGGTCCACTAGGATATCTAGAGACCTCTCTCAGTTACTACTATTAAGCCAGGAAGCACCTATTCTATATCTAGTGTTTGGCGTTCCTGCCTAAGTACACCACTGAACTGCATTTTGTTGGATAGGATCCAACCCTCAAGTCTATCAAGATCCTTCTGACGCTTGAGTTTATCTTCCAAAATGTTAGCAATTCCCCAGTTTGGTGTCATCTACAAATTTTATGAGTTTCTTTTCTATCCCTTAATTTAGATAACTTGTGAAGATGTTGAAGAGCCCTGGGCCCAAGACAGAACCATGAGGCACTGAATGCTCCCCATTATATAGTTGTAGTTCCATTGAGGACTGCGTGTTGGATGTGATTGGTCAGCCAACTGAAAATCCATTTGGAGGTGGTACTGTCTGTCCCACATTGTTATATCTTACAAAGAATGGTCTACTTTGTCAAATATCTTACTGAAGTCCAAGTATACTAGGTTTACAGCATTTCCCCGGTCTACTAATTTAGTCACTTTATCAAAGAAGACAATAAGATTTGTATGACAAGTTCTGTTTTTTAATAAACCCATGCTGGCTTCTAGGAATTGCCTTGTTCAGGTACTTACAAACCTGTTACTTAGTTACCTTTTCCAGGATTTCTCCAGGTATTAATGTCAAGCTGATTGATCTATAATTTCCTGGATCTATTTTTCCCCTTGTTGTAAACTGGAACCACATTAGCTCTTTTCTAATCTTCTGGTAGTTCCCCTGTGCTATAGGAGCTTTGAAAAATTACATTCAATGGTTCCGAAATTATATCTTCCAGGTCCTTTGGATCAAATGATTTCTACTCATCCAGGGTAGATAATGGATATATTTCTTTTACCTTAAAATAGCATGAGTTCATCCAGTTTCCTGTCTGGTTTACTTGGGAGACCTGATGTGACTCATGCAAGTCTGAAGGTCATAAGCGTGGATTTGAACTTGATGGCCCATATAAGCCCATCCTATTTTACAATTCATTACATTTTATTCCCATCATATGATAACTTAGTTTGCAACTTGTGGCAGGTTCTAAAAGCTTTATCAGCATACAATACCCAGACAACTGTTTGGATTCAACTGTCTATAAACATCTTGCTTGAACCAAGTCAGCTCTAGCAAGAGGAGACTCAAAATTTATAAAATGTTCAAAATCTTGAGAAGTCATCCTCTTCCAAATCTGCAATAACTCAAGTGAGATAAGAACTGAGAATACCCATGGGAGTACAGAGCATGAATCATTTGGGAAGCTGAAAGCAATGAACCCAAGTATCACAATTTATCGGCTGAATAATACTCTGACCCAGACCTGGACCTTATACATCCCATGGGCCACATCCTGCCTGCAGGTTGTCCCAGGCCAGCATGCAGCATTAGGTGGGGCATCAGCAATAGAGGCTAGGGAAGGCAGTGCAGGATTGGAGTGGGGCAACAGCAGCCCTTCACAGGAGTTCCAATTTCTCATGTGAGCCCCTAGGAAAAATTAATTACCTAGCCCTTCTTTATCCTCTAACCTAGCCATGGACTACAGGTAGTCCTCAACTTACAACAGATCATTTGTCAGAGCTGAAAAAAGTGACTTAAGTCATTGTCCAGAAGATCGTTGGTTGCCCTCTCCCCTCTTTGGAAGAGCTTTATAGCTCCCGCTGCCTTGAGAAAGTTCAAAATATTCTCAAAGATCCATCTCATCCTGGGAACCCTTTTTTTCCCCCCCACACTTATGACTGCTGCAGCATCTCTATGGTCACATGATTGACATTTGGATGCTTGACAACTGACTCACATTTATGATAGTTGCAATGTCTTGGGGTCATGTGATCCCTTTTTGCAACCTTCCGACAAGCAAAATCAATTGAGAAGCCAGATTCACTTAACAACCAACGTTACTAATTTAACAAATGCAGTGTTCCGCTTAACAAATGTGGCCAGAAAAGCCATAAAATGGGATAAAGCTCACTAAACAAATTTCTCACTTAGCAACATAAATTCTGGGCTCAATTGTGGTCTTAGGTCAAGAAGTATCTGTGTTACTTTCTTCACAATGTTTCCTAAAATTCTGATACAAAGCAGTCTTCAAGGTTCCATATTTGGTAATATTTGGTTGTCTCACAAAAAAATGGTGTGTGTTAGATTAAGTGCCCCTGTAGCCCTTTATAAAGAATAAAGTAGATGAGTTTGTTGGAGATGAACTACAACAAGGAAGAGGAAGTATAGCACAGTGAGACTTGCAAGATTGATGTCAGCTCTGCTGTGTAGACCAAGAAATCAGCTCCAGGCAAAATTGAAGGTGGCCCAGCAGAGATTATACTACCTGGGACTTCTCAGGAAACAACACCTGAATGAAAAACTGCTGGTGACCTTCTACCGCTGCACCATAGAGAGTATCTTAACTTACTACACCTGTGTATGATTTGCCAATTGCACAGTGGCAGATAGGAAAGCACTCCAGAGGGTTAACATCATTGCTCAGAAGATCATTGGTTGTCCTCTCCCACCTTTGGAAAAACTTTATAGCTCCCGCTGCCTTAAGAAAGTTCAAAACATTCTTAAAGATCCATCTCATCCTGGGAACCCTTTTTTTTAACTATTACCATCTGGCAGATGGTACAGAATAATAAAAACAAGGACAAGGAATAGGCTGAAAAACAGCTTCTATCGCAGGGCACTAACTCTATTGAATTCTACTGTATAGTGCAATATTAATGCAATATCGGGTTTTCAATTCAATCGTATAGAACAAGGCTCTTCAAACTTGGCAAGTTTAAGACTTGTGGACTTCAACTCCCAGAATTCCTGAGCTAACATGACTGGAAGAGGAATTCTGGGAGGTGAAGTCCACAAGTCTTAAAGCTGTCAAGTTTGAAGACCCCTGGTATAGAATGTGAAGGATGTGTTTGTGTTTTATTTTTATAATTATAATGTACACTGAAGATGGTATTTAATTTCATTGTATGAGGTGCCATGACAATAAACTAAACTAAACTATGGTAACTGAATTTTCCAAGTTTGATTGTGCTTTACCTCCTCCTCCTTCTTATAATTATAGTGCCTTAAAAAACCTGTCTTAGCTGCATTATATGCTGCATTATATGAATTATATGGCTGTTCTGCACTTAAAAAATGTTTTATCCCTCGTCACTCTGGCAATGGAGCTCCTATATTCAGCCAAAATCTCCCTTATGTTTAAATAGACAGCAACTGCCTAGATTTCTCTACCAGCAATATACATATTGTAATGGGCAGTAAGAATAACCTTGAAGAACAGAATGAAAAGCTGCAACCAGGGAAATGGACAAAAAAAATCTGAGTCCAATACTGAAATGTTAATTTGAGAAAACAGACTGAACTGTTCACCCTAGTTCTCTTGAAAATAAAAGGAAGGAAGAGGAAGCCCATTGAGAATTGCAAAATTCTGTTACTACAACTTTGCAATAAAAATTAATATTTAGTTAATATTAACATTCATAACTTTGGTTTCCTAGCCTGGTCTACCTCAAAGGGAAGAAGACATATATACTCATGTATTGATTTCTTCTGGAATTCTAGCCTGATATCAACATATGCTTCCAGGAACGGATCCCTGCTTCTGCTCAGGTATTTAGAATGGGTGAAAAATGGTAGAAGATATGCTACTATGTAATAGGCGTGAGCATAATCTTGGAAGACAGGAGGAAGAGCCACAGCCTTGGCAATCGTCTAATAAGAGAAATCTGATACCAGAAGAGAGATAGCGGGTAGAGAAAGCATTTCAGAAGGGAAACCTCCCTATTTCTCTGGAATGTAAAGGTGGGGTAGAGGGACAGTGCTTTCAGACTTACAAGAGTCTTACTGTAAATTTACAGGAAATGTAGTATTAGCACTCATGGGTTGGGTTTCCAGTCTGAACCAGAGATGGTATTCAACAGATTCTGACCAGTTCTGGAGTGGAAATTTTGAATAATTTGGAGAACTGGCAAATGCCACCTCTAACTGGCCATGCCCCCATCTATTCTTTGCCTCCCAGCTGATCTTCTGGGTCTTCTTTGTTGCCCTGCACAGGAGAACAGAGCTGGAAAGTAGGTTAGTAAGGGCCGACGCACTATCCTTTCTTCACAACTTATAGGCAGATAAAGGATTGCTGCTGGATTTTTATCAGATACATTTTGGGCATCTTAGTATACTGGAGATATTACCTTCAGTGATACGATGGAATCAAATAGATCAATCTTGCTATTCCTTTTATTTAGTAGACATGCACACTTCTCTTTTTTTTTTCCACAGGGCTTTTCCTTTCCACATCAATTGTATCTTGCCACAAAATAGTTAAACAAACTAATGCTGCACTCCTTTCCAGTTTTGACAAATAATTACTTAGATGCCATTCCTTGTTTACTTGTACATTCTAACCAGAGATTTATGATGTTTGGGAGAACGTTCCAAAACATCCTGCTTTGGCTTCAAACACTTTTTACTTAATTCAGTTGCAATTCGCCTTGTTATCCAAAATGTTATAGCAATATAGCATTTCCTTGTGTGACTTGTCTTGCAAGCAGTTTTAGATATTTACAATGACTGCAGTCCTTTTCTGCTTTTTAATGCTTATAGATTAATTTTATACTGTACATAATTAAAAGAGTATACTTGAAAATATATCAAATGCATGGGTTCATTGTGTGCGCCACAGTTTAATAAATTTGATAAACAGAAATTAAATGCACATACAATTTAAACAAAGCCAGACTAAAGCCCCAACACTTAAACCATTATACAAAAACCACTTTTACTACCCGTAAAAGAACTATGTTAATAACAGAATCTAAAAATGGGCTTGTTTTATTATCATAACCCAATTCCTGCTTCTATCCATCATTAAAATATTCTGAACTTAGACTGAATGGAAAGCAAACTAGTTTGGCGATTACTGTGTGCAGTATACTTCTGACTGAACAAAGAAAAACTCAATTTCTTTGTACTCACGGAGAAAGTGCTTTTCCAGCAAGGCAATTTCCAAGTGGCCTTTGATCTCATTTAATCTGTCAGACTCTGTTCTGTTGTAATCGGGAACTCCTGTCGCCATGATGACAGTCCCAGGACCAGCCTACGGAGAGAGGGAGGGAGGGGAGGGGGTTATAAGAAAAGAGAAAAGATGCTGGCAGCTCAGAAACCAATCTCTGGAGGAAGAAAAGAAGCAAGAGCATTCCACACACACCCCTGGCACACACTCCAAAATGCAAATACAAAGCAGTAGATCAGCAATGGTTTTCTTTTATTTACTAGTTTATCTGGGGCAAACCAAGAGCTGGGCAGAGCCATGTACAGCATTAGCCTGCTGACATGAATCAATGGAAGCTTATGAAAGGAACCCTATCTCCCTCACGGCGGCGTGTCTCGCATCAGTGCGCCTGCTCAGACCTCCACACCAAATGCTTTGATTTCTGCAGCAAGAAACGTCATTATCTAAATTCCCTCTGATTGGCTAGAAGCTGCCTCCAAATAAGGATCCTTCCAAGTCAATTATGGGCCATGGTTTCAAGAGGGCCATTTAAACAATTAGGAAGTCCGTAAACTGAAGAGTGCGGCACTCAGGATAAACCCTCTCTCATGAATATGCAAGAACAGTTTGAGGGGATCAGGGAGGGTGAGGAGAGGGGGGAAAAAACTTGCAATGTTTAAAGATTCCTACCACTGTAATATTCTTGAGATATTAACTTTAAAAACTTCAAATCTCAACAAATAAATGCTCTGTCTTACATATTGGCAAAAAAAATCAGAAAATAAAATACAAGCTGAATAGTCAAGATCTTGTTGATGACCCAAGCTCTGTAAAGGACCTTGGAATACTCACCTCTAATGATCTAAGTGCTAGAGCCCACTGCAACTACATAGCCAAAAAGGCATTAAGAGTTGTTAACCTAATCCTACGTAGCTTTTTCTCTGGTAATATCACACTACTAACCAGAGCATACAAAACATTTGCTAGACCAATACTCGAATACAGTTCATCAGTCTGGAACCCACATTACGTATCTGATATTAGCACAATTGAGAAAGTCCAGAAATATTTCACAAGAAGAGTTCTCCACTCCTCTACTCGTTGGAGAATACCTTATGCCACCAGACTTGAAATTCTAGAACTAGAAAACCTTGAATTACGCCGTCTTCGGTCTGATTTAAGCATGGTATATAAAATCATACATTGCAATGTCCTACCTGTCAATGAATACTTCAGCTTCAACCATAACAACACAAGAGCACACAACAGATACAAACTCAATGTTAACCGCACCAAACTTGATTGCAGGAAATATGACTTCAGCAATAGAGTGGTCAATGTCTGGAATACTCTACCCGACTCTGTAGTTTCTTCCCCAAACCCCAAAAACTTTAACCTTAGACTGTCTACTATTGACCTCACCCCTTTCCTAAGAGGTCTGTAGGGGGCGTGCATAAGTGCACCAACGTGCCTACTGTCCCTGTCCTATTGTTTCTCTTATTCTTGTTTTATTTTTCTTATATGTACCCATTTCATGTATTCACAACTATGTATACACTTATACTTATTATCTTGTAAACAATTGGTAAATCAAATAAATAAATAAATAAAATAAATAAATAAAAATACACAGAGAGAGAATAGGACAGATAATGCAGCATTACAAAGATCAGGACAGATTGATATGCTCATGTAGATTTGGGTATATAAATATATAAAAAATAAATAAAAATACCAGGGAGGGTGTGTGTGTGTGTGTGTGTATATCAATTTCCAAGCAAGACAGAAGCTATACGGTTGCAGGAACTGAGCATGGCTAGTCTAGTGAAGAGAAGGATCACTCTATAAAGCCTTAGTAAGACCACAGCTAGAGTACTGCATCCAGTTTTGATCACCACACTATAAAAAAAGATGTTGAGACCAGTGGTGCATTTCAAAAAAAAATTTACCACCGGTTTGGTGGAAGTGGCTGGGTGCACATCCACACACTTTGCGTGTGCGCGCATGCCCGATGCACACTTTGCACAGGTGCAGCGGCTTTCCAACTCACCTCCTACAATCCTGCACACCCCCTGTTGCTTCAGCAGCTGCCGTGCAGCGGTCTGCTATGCCACGCAAAGCAGATGCGCTTCCAAAGCAGGACATAAAAGTTAGTATGGGAGCCTGGGGGACAGGTGGGCCCAACAGCAGAGAGTCGGAAAGAACGGGTTCGGTCTCTGCTGCTAATCGGCGCTACCGGCCGGGCGAGCCGGGCCAAACCGGTAGAATACCACCACTGGTTGAGACTCTAGAAAAAGTGCAAAGAAGAGCAACCAAGATGATTAGGGGACTGGAGGCTAAAACATACGATGAACGGTTGCAGGAACTGGACATGGCTAGTCTAGTGGAGATAAGGACCAGAGGAGACATTGATAGCTGTCTTCCAATATTTAAGGGGCTGCCACAGAGAGGAGGGGGATCAAGCTATTTTCCAAAGCACCCGAAGGCCAGACAAGGGAAAATGGATGGAAATTGAAGGAGAGATTCAACCTGGAAATAAGGAGAAATTTTCTGACAGTGAGAGAAATCAACCCATTGGACAGTTTGCCCTCAAGAGGTTGTGGGAGCTTCATCACTGGAATCTTTCAAGAAGAGACTGGAGTGCCATCTATCAAAAATGATGTAGGGTCTTCTGCTTGGGCGGGGGGGGGGGGTTGGACTAGATGACTCTGTTAATCTGTAATTCTGGTTGTAAACTATGATTATCATAAAGCACATCACCACATGTGACTGGGCCTGATTTTATTACCTTTCTTGTGACTGTGGTTAGGCGAATATGATGGTCATTAAGTGACCCACTGTTTGCAGTGGTTTTTTTGTTTTTGTTTTTTGGGGGGGGGGTTGCAGGAAACCAGACATAAAGACTTCTTTCTGGAAAAATTGTCATAAATCATAGTCGCAGGACCTTGGGGTGCTGCAAACAGCTACAAATGTGGCCCCACTGCCAAGCTCCTAAAATGCGGTCATGTGACTTCAAAAAGGGTGATGTTGTGACTTTGAAGCCAGGTTGCAAGTAGCTTTTTGTGGGGGAGGGGCTGTCCATCAAAACTTTGAATGGTCATTAAGAGATCAGTCATAAATTGGGGACTACGGTATAAACTTAAAGAAAGGAAGAGATGCATATGTATGAGAGGGTGAATGAATGCTAAAACATCTTGTAAGAACAGATGGCTATGCATGAAAGGAGCTAATAGTCAAGGCACAATTGTTATTCTATTAATATGTTATATATTAATATGTTAAATTATTGTTCCTAAAGCTGCATTTGAGATTAGAACATGTCGCGTAGGGATTAACGGGAGCTGATAGCAGTTCAGTGGGAAAACTGGTGGGAAAAACAATGCAGACAACAAAGTTTGCCTCAAAACGTATCTGTGTTATTATGACGTTTAAAATGATATCACTTGAAGGTAAATATATTGCCACTGATAATTATAGTTTTTCCCCTTCCGGGAAAATGGTACTGTAGCAAGAGATGTAGATAAGTTAGAAAGGATGAATCTGTAAAAACTACATTTCAGAAATAAAGAATTAAGCAGAAAATTCAACCACAGATCTGCGAGGAAAACATATACATTGATCAAGAATTATCTGGGCAGCGATGCATTTTTCCCACTTTTTAAACCTATAATATATACACAAACATTGAAAGTAAAACTGAAACATGTGCTAATATCCTTGTTTAGTACATTTAAATATAGTGAAGCTTATCTCCGATGCAAATGCAAAAAATTCAGACCTAAGAGCTTTTAATTTTATAGTGGGATATTTTCTTTCAAGGCATTCAATATACATACATCTAGAAATTAATTTTCTACATATACCCCCTCCCCCAACATTTTAGGAATATGAATTCCTATGCAGTCCTTTTATTTGTCTCTGCATGTTAAAAAGGAAATCAGAATCACTCCTGTTTTTATCTTTTTTTCTTGTTTTATGGAAGATTGGCTATGCAGTCATCTGTGGAAAATAACGTCGTATCATCAATGGCTGACCTAACAGTAAACAGGCAGGTAGGCTAGTGTCATTCTGAAAGGCTAAAATTGTACTCCCGTTATCTGCTTCAATGCTTTTACTGTGTTCTGAGAAATGGTGATACTTCAAAAGGAGCCACTGGGAATCACAAGTATTTCTGCCACGGAAATCAGGGTTAAAAGTATGCAGATTGAGGTACTATCAAGTGATCCAGAATCAATATAACAGAATTCAGTTCCATGTAACTGGATATAATTCCACAGTCAATTCTAATCGCCATCCCCTATTAAACTACAAGAGGCCAATGCTTCAACAATAAAAATGATGTAACAAGTTGTATTCTGGGCTTTTATTTTTACCCCAAATTCCTATGTTCCCATCAGTCTTATTTTCTTATTAATACACCCAGATGCACAAATGGAAAGTTACACTTGCTTAGCACTTAACTTTGTCCCCATAAGATATTAATCTAACTTCACAGTATTTTAAACACATCAACGTAGAGTTCTTAGAAGGTGAAGCAGAAATGACTTTAAATTATAAATGAAGGCAAGGTTTTCACATAATTACTGAGGAAAGGGACATTTAGCATGCCTGTTCAGAAATAAGTACCCTGGGTTCAGTACCTTTTCAAGCTATAATTTTATATTGATTTATCTAGAAAGTAGGACTGAAGGAACTCAGTCAAGCTTACTTCTGAGCCAGACTATTTAGCAGGAACAATCCGTTCTTCCAGAGTCACCTTCTCTCTTATAATTTTGAAAACTGCACAACTTATTAATGATTTGAGAAAGAAATCACATTAAAACTGCAATACAAGCCCTACATAAAGCTTTATGTAATGGAGCCTATGGTATCTCCCCAGCCTGTAAGTGCTGGCAGAGTTGATATATTATGGGTTCCTATTATGTAAACAATGTTATCTATCAGGACCCAAATGGGGCCTTGGAGGTGCACTTTCCATTTAGCTGTCCCAGCCTTTTGATATAGCCTTCCATCTGAAATTTAAGGGAATCCTACCCTTCTAGCCTTTCAGAAGCCATGATGAACAGGCTCATTACATAAGCATTAGGCTAAAATGGTGGTTCAGT